CCCTCTAGTCTCGTGTAAAAATGGACCAAATACGGGACGGTATTTAAATCCCGACGGTGCGCCAAATGACACTGTACGAAGTCGCCAGCTTAAAAAGCTCGAGTTCCTCGTCATAAAGTTTAACTGCGAAATTGCATTTTATGCATACGTTATCTCTAAGCCCGCGGGTACTCATTACATGTTCGAAAAATTAGGGAAAAATTTCTGTTTGGAGAGGAGCTTCGTTTCGCGCTCGCAATGCGGTTAATTTGCGGTACGTCGCGTTTGTCGTGGCGCGAAGTTGAGAGTCGCCGTCGTGGGTGAGCCTTCACGTCCCTCACCGAGGGAAAAAAAAAAAGTTATCATAGCTCCCAGGATAGATTTCCATAGTGAAGCCCAGATGAATGACGTCCAAATGGAGGAGCTCGCGCGCGGCCTGCACCGCTCTGCGTTATCCCGTTGAGTTTACCGCGATATAGAGCGGCAGCAGTGCGTGGTATTATATACGTAATTGATGCCCGGCTATTTTTCTCGCTGTAATATATCGCGGCGTGGCGGAGCGCAGCGCAGCGCAAAACCGTCTGCGTGAGGCGTTACTTCGTAACTAATGCGCCGCGATTTTTAACGCGCACAGCTCGACGTGTAGCGCGACATTTCGTTCACCGCGGGTCACTGGGTTTATAACCGCCTATCCGTTAAATGCCGTAAGAAGATCAAAGTCGTGTGATATTCATCAACGCGTCTTACGTAATCTTCAGTTTTGCGATAAATATGTCAACTTTTGTTGTTTAACCCTGTGTTGTTTGACCCTTGGGGTATCGTCAGGGCTTATCAGACTCAATCTTCTGTGTCTGAATGTCTTTTCGAGCACTTGTAGCTATTTGTAAGGATTGCTAACTCACGATTTCTATTATTTCCTCCAACCCGAGTCGAAACTTTGATTCTACGTTGACCCTGCAAATTCCGTTGTATTTGAAGAGTCAATGAAGAATCCGGAGATATACAAGTTATTGACCTACCTTGATTGTTATAAACGGCCACTTCTTGTCGTTTCCTCCATGATGAAGAAGTTTGACGAGGCACGTTCAAGAATTATTTGAGAATTATTCAATTTTAAGGATTATTTGATATTAAAGAATTATTTAATATATATCCGAACTTTCTTTATTTTCAGTTATTGTAATTATTTTTTAATTATTTAATATTCAATTACCTTATTATATACAGGAGAAAAAAGTTGGCTGTATTAATATGAAGTGAACGGTCTTAATGAACGAAGCAACGTGTTTTGGTTAAAGGACATAAAATTTCTATGATTTTTATGACCAAAATTTGTTTCTAAATTTGACATAAATTTGACAAAATTTGGCATATCAAAATTTTACATATTTCTTTCAACTATGTAAATATAGTGGTTCGTTTATTACTACTATATAAGCTGCACTTTAATACAACCAAATTTCTTCCTCCGTGTATGTAGATAGAATTTCACCCGTATACTGCGGGTCGCTGAGAACAATCGCAATTCGACGACAAAGACTCGAGATCCGATGTTCATCTCGACGTTTTCAAACAAAATAAAGTCTATATTGAAAAAGAGATCTTGTTGTCGAAACGAAAATTTGGCACATCAAAATTTGATGAAAATAGGATCTACTAAATATTTAGTAATTGCAACAGAAAAATTTAATTACCGATCGTGTAGTTTTGCTTTCTCACTAATGCGTTTTACTTGACACAAGTGGAAAACATGGTAATGCCAGCCAAATTGTATATATCAAATATTTTAGTTCCAAATATAAAAGTATAATTTTTTTATTGTAAAGACGTGCGATCAAAGCCGTCTTCTTTGCTTCGCGGGAAAAAATGTCGGAAAAACCAAGCTCCCGGATGCATCGAATGCACAAAACCAACACTGGCTCATTGTTATTCGCGATAGTCATTCTGCTCGATAATTGCTCAATAGCCATGAGTGAAGTGTGTCCTCACCACTTACCTTAACACCTACCTTAAAGGTAATCTCAGAGCAATTACCGATCTATTTCGATACATCTCCCTCCGCAGGGATATGTCGAAAAAATTGTGCGCGTGGATGCATTCGATGCGCAAAAACCAAACTCGCCAATTGCCAATTATGATCGCCCATTGCCATTCACAAATCTCTGAAAATGCATATTGTTTGTGCGGGACTCGAAAGAGATAAGAATCCTCGGCCATCTAACAGTTAAATCAACCAATTATTATCATAATCAACCCATTATTCATCAAAGCCCGTCTTATATCTGTTGTCCCTTGCACACTCCTCCCCGCTTGGACGTATTTGTTATCTTTCTTCCTCCAGCTTAAGTTATACGCTAGTAAAAGTGTGACGTTACCACACATTAATATTAATTGGCAAATATACATACTCGCGCGATTGGCAACTGGTGAAGTATGATTGTATTCGAATGAAATTTGTGTAGATAAAATTTATACAGATAAGCGGATGTTAAATTATCTAGTGAGGATATTATATGTGTGTGGGGAAATGGATAAAAGAATAAGTTTTAATATCATCTCTTCCTGATTTTTGTTTTTGTTTTTTCTTTTTTCTTTTTTTCTTTTGTTTTTCTATTCTTATGGAAGTTTTGATGAGATTTATAGTTTTAAAAAAAGCTGATATAAAGCTGCAAAAAGACAAAGATAATAGTTATATGTCTAATAATGTTATGCTCCAATAGAGATTTGAAGTGGAGTTTGGTATGATAACGTACTTGTGATAAAAACATAAGTGAAGAAATTGTTACAACAGACATAAACAAAACAAGAATTGCAACTCAAGGAACATTATTAGACTGAAAACTCAACACTGGCAAGACAAATTAAATTCTAAGACCGGCATTCATAGCTGAAATAATTTACGGTCTGCTTGAGAATGTAATTAAATACAGTTTTATATGTACGAGTCGTTAATCGGCTGTTTGGATTAATATTTCTTGTATGAAATAATGTAATAAATATAGATACAGGCTGTCAAATAAACACTTGTAATAAGATTCTAACTAAGATTCTCGATGCTATAATTACTTCGTTTTCAAATGACAACTACGAATACCGGTCTAGGTTTCGACTCGGGTATGTTCCTATTCTCGGTAAGTTCGTTCAAAGATCCGTTAAAAACGGAAACTTCCTGAATAATAAATGATTGGGCGTACCTTGAAAATATATGATGTATCACCGTCTGCGTCCCAACGTCCTGCGTTTTCTGTCCTTCGTCCTGACTTCTCGACCAAGCTATCCTGGCTACTCCGTCGTGGCACTAACACTGACACTGACACTCGCGTAGGCACGATTCAATCGAAGATATATGTGTTAAATAATGCGATACCGACACTAATTATGTATCTCAAAAGTATCTCGACGAGATAGTTTAATTAACCGAGGGGAGCGACAGATAACGCACTAACACATGTAGTCCGTGGTATGCATGTCGCTCGCCAGCTTGGAATTGAATGAGAACATTCGGAAAAGTTCGTGAGACACAAAGATAAATTTGAACACCGTAAAGGTCCTGAATGTTTTGATCGTGTAGAGAAACGATAGATAACACACTGACACAAGTAGTCCATGGTATGTGTGTCGCTCGTCGGGTCGGAACTGAATGGAAACATCTGGAAGAGTCCGCGAAGCACAAAGGTAAATTTGATCGTCTTGAAGGTCTCGAATGTTTTGACTGTGTGATCGCCCGGCATTGATAATCGACGACTGTTGACTATGAGAATGAGTTTACATTTTTTGTCGATTGTTCCAATATTCTCGCGCGTCGTACACTTTCCTTGAACAAAAAAGTAAAACAAGAGATTATCGCGAGTTATCATGTGGTAAGGTAGAAGTTTTTTTTAGAATAACGAGGCAATGACTTATTTTATCAAGATTTCCATTGTTGGAATTAATCTCCTCACGTACCCGCGCGATATTATACATCATGCATTTACCAATGCATCAAATGGCACAGCAAAATGTCCTTTGATGCGAATAAATAAAAAATATATATTTTATGTATGTACATTTTCAGTGCCAATGCAGAAAATAAATAATAAAGAAATTATAAAGAAACGAAACTTATATGTTACTTATTCATGAATGATATTTGTTTACTAATCTTTGTCAGGCTATTTAATACTCGCTTATCGTACATATTCTATCCGCAGCAAGCAAAGCTGTACGATTAATACACTACTTATTGGATTTAAGAATAAAGATTAAATGCAGATAGAATATTGAGATAATCAAATTTTAAATATTTCTGAAGTAAATCTTTTTTTAAGAATAAATCAACATGGAAAAAATAGCATTAAATAACTATTTATTGTAGTAAAGTAACACAATATAGTCCGTATATGTATACTGTTTTCCAAGTTTTATAGAATTTGTAAAGTTAATGTCTGCAAAACTCTCTAAAATTTCGATTCAGGAAATATTTCAAAAAATAAAAGGAAAAATTATTTACTTTGTTTTCATGGAATTAATTAATTCTATATAGTTAATATTATGATAATATATACTGAGAATTAATAAATAATAGACTCTAAGAAGATAATGTATGCAGAAACGAATTAGCCGTAAGAGTTAAAATATTAGTTGTTGTAACTAAGATATGTTATTGAAATAAAGCTGATGTCGTTGTTATCTAAACTAAATTTATTAGCTATTTGAATTTTGACGCTACGGCAAAAAATATTTATTGCGAGACAGAAAGTCCCCATTATTATCATTTCGTTTTTCTCTTAAATTACACTTTATAATCGCCGAAAACATAAAATTGACGTTTCGTATTATAACTGCAAATCAAGATTTCCCATTGGCTTTTAATATAGATTGATAATTAACTAAACTAATTAACACTCATTTTAACGCAAATACAAAAACTGATGTTTTTCGTACTTACATAGTTACTCTGTTTGATCCTTATTCCACAGAAAAACAATTTCGCGTCCATCGGAAGCGCTGTAATTTCCCCTTTCCAATGATCTTTGTTTCAGGTTGCTACGACGTCTACAAATGGAGTTTTTAACAATTGCACCGATTCGCGCGCGCGCATATTTTTAGATCGTTCAGCGTTATCGCTGCAGCGCGCTACGGATAGATGACTACGCGACGCGTGAATGGAATGCGAAACGCGACTACTGCGAGGCATCTTGCGCTGTGACTGACGGCACGCACGCGGTAGCGCGACTCGCTCCCCCCCACTCCGCCACTCAGGACCGCCCACTTGCTCGCTGCGGCTACGCGGTCGTTCACCTCACTTTAGTAGCAAACAGTGCGTCGGCGCGAGAGCAAGCGTCAACGTTGCGCACAAACGTAAGTTTCTAACTCAACCTAATATCGATGCCACGGCTTTACGCGACATATAATATGTGAATAAGTTGAGTAGCGACATGAAATAAAAATAAATCTCTTTAGCATGTATTCCCACACGCCTGCCATGCCGTTTTTTCACTTAGACAAATCGACAAATATCGTAATCGATCAGTAAACGATACACTAAAATCGATTGAAGTAAATACGATACATGTATAACACGCAACCTTTTTCATTCGCATTTAAATTCGTCTCATTTATTGTAACAGTGATTAATATATTAACCATATAATATATATATATATATATATATATATATATATATATATATATATATATATATATATATAATATATTTTTTTTTTAAATGAAAGACAATTGATTGATTAGTGCGCGCGATACGCAGCGAACGAATTTTGTACGGTTAATTCGTTACAGAGTCGAATGCTCGAGATTCACTTATGTAAGATATTTACGCTGAGAAAAAATATTTGAAAATTTTTATTTTTGAGATATAAAATTTATTTCTATGTGAAATGAAGCTTATTTCCATGAATAAACTTTATATCCTACAAGTAAATTTTTAAATATTTTTTTCTCAGTGTAGAAATAGCTGACACTTTCTTAGCTCTATTCGACAGACAAATGTACGCTTTTGATTTTAATCGATAAATTTCGACCTTACAGCATTTTACTTGTGATAGCCAATTCTTAGCAATTACAACAAAACGATCAGGCTTTTAACCAAATTTGAATCAACTATTGAAATTTAGCTGATATTATGAAGTCATTCCTTTGCGTGTAGTAACGCTAATTCGACAGTGTGAATTATTAGGACCTTAACTTAGTTTCCGCCCGCAAATGTTAGATGGC